ATAACTACCCTTAATGCCAATGGCCAAAAAGTCTAGCTTTCTGGAAAAAAGTGGAGTTGAAGAAAGCTTTCGAGAGGAATGATCCCTTTCCCTGGCACCCTGCGGGTGATGAAGGCCAAGTTTGGCTGAAGTCCTTTGACTGTGTGAAGCCCCAAAGTATACCATCACATACGTATTGACTGCACTATATCGCACTATCACATACCATCACCCTGACCCTAAGAAGTCCCACCCACCCAAACCACTGACCCGCTCAGTTTCGGGAAACGGATCGAAACGGGCCCACCGCCGGTCGTGCAACCGGAAACTCGATCCACGTCAAAAACATTCAAACACCAAGGCTTGCCATTCATGTGGCCTTCAAGGAGATCAGTTTAAAAATAGCATGGTTGAGCTATATATGTTGAGCTGGTTTTGTAGTGCAGGATGCTTAGTACAATGCTTGTTCGGGATTCGAGCTGTTAGATCAATGGTGGGCCATGATCCTAGGAATTGGAGAGGGTCTGAAGACCTAACGAGGTATACGAGCCCTATCGAGCCCTAGAGCCATGCCCCAAGGCTATGCTTCAACCTGCAGCTGAGCCAGTGCTCCTCTGGGAACATCCTAGGACCCCAACACAAACACCAGGAAAATGCTCGATGTTCTCCGAGGTGTAGACCCACAAAGGCCTCCTGGTGAAAGGAAAGCCAAAAACAATCTGGGTGATGGTTCCTACTCGGAAATTTGAAGTCAGTGGGGTCATTCTTCCCAACTAAAGGCTGAAAATACAAGTCTCTGAAACTGAAACCACCACCCAGAAAAATAAACCTTTCGTTCGTGGGTTTCCTTAAGTCACTGCACAACTTGCACAACTTCTCCCTGCTCGCGGGCCCCGGTGTCTTCTCATTGCTCGCAGCGACCCGGGTGGTCAAACGCCCGGAGATATGTTGGAGCTCCTCCATGGCGAACAACATCCCTGACAGTGGTGCGTTGAAGCCTCGGGTTGACCAGCCGCGGCGGGCATGGGCGTGGTGTGCCATCGAAGGACCCAATTTGAAGAGTCGGGTAGTTAACTGAGTTGTGCATCCTCAGGACCTGTGGAGTGGGGCGGTGGTGCCTGTCGAAATAAACAAATTATTAATCCAATGAATTGTGCCTCTTGGGCCTATCATGTTACCAGTAACAGCGGATGATGGTTCAGTTGCAGGCCTTTCTCTAAAATAGTTATATTTGTTTACCGACTGTTGCGGGTATTTTTGACTTTTGATTCATAACCCTCCCCTCTCATTTGGATTTTGAAACCTCTTCATATGGGTGGTTTACCAATGAGCCTAAATATATATATATATAACAATTTGTATAATGAATTATATTCTCACGTAGAGACAAATCATTCGCTCAAATGCGGTGGTTTCCACCTGAAGAGATGTTCACGCCGGAACCCTTGGACCGACCCTCCTCGGTCACTTGACTCTGTCGTCCCAGCCGCTAGCAGCGAAGCCGCAGCAGAAACCCAGCGAGGCCAACAGGGACTGCGTCCGGGCAGCACGGATGCCGATCGTCCAGCCAATCCTGAGGACTTGGAACTGCATCTTGCAATCTGAACAGGTCTTCCAAAGGATTATATGTTTTGCTCAATTTGGAAGGCGAGTTCTGGAGGCCTTTGGGCTTGAGGCATGGGTAGGTGGAAATTGACTTCATTTGTGATGGAATGGTGGTAAATGGGGTTGTACTTCCATGGATGGTCGGCAAATGCGACAGACCACCAGAGGTCACACTTTCTATAGAGGGGTGGACGATCTTCCGCTGGGCTCTACAAAATCCAGCACTACCCAGTGAGGAGTTCCTTACATTGGTGCCTATTGGAGCGCAGGGAAACCCATTCTTCTGATGTTCTGCTCTTGAAGGAAGCATGATGTCCTATGGTGTTGCTCAAACAAATGTCGTCTTATGAGCCTGAAAGGGCCACCTCAGCACCTGAAAAGGTCCCCAGCCCTAGAGGATCCAAGAAACAGCTGTTTGGTCTGGAAACAGCTGTTTGGATAAAGCGAAGTGTCCACCTATTGGATTTGAGTGGGGAAACATCCCCAAGCGGTGGGACAAGATCTCCAATCCCCCGCTTTTGGCCAACACTTCACTGGCGGACCACCTCCTCCATCGCACCCTGGTGCGGATCGATACCTGTCTCCCTTCACCACCCTTTCATCCTTGTTCAACGGTCGTCTTCAATGGGTGTTTCTTCGACGGTCGTCTGCCCTGCAAGGCTCATTGAGGCCAAACTGGTGCAAACTTGAATGGTTGGACCATCCCCACCTCAGTGCTGGTCTTCGCGAAGCCACTCCTTTCACTCTCAAAACCTCTCGCGGAACGAGATTCTGAACCACGAGTCCAAGGTGGAACGAAGAGGACGGGCGAAGCAAAAGGCGTTTTCTTACAGAGGCTGCAGTTCACAATTCCGGAAAAGGAAACCACAACGTAGCACATCTTCCCAAGTGAGTTGGAATACGCTTGATTTCCAGTGGTTCTCCCTGGGCCAAGGCCCACCAACGCAAAGTTAAGGTAAAACCCAGGGAAAACGGCACACGTTGGCCCTGCGTGTGAGGCACTGTCATCCATGTTTCAAACAGCAGCTGACACGTTTCACAAGGCCAGGCCCAGGTAGCAACCCTCCAATGATCCAACAACCCTCCAATGATCCAACAACCCTCCAATGATCCAACAACCCTCCAATGATCCAACAGGTCACCACCGTCGGCGGTGGTTGTTCGGTCTCCATTTCAGAGACCTGTAGAGGAGACCTGCTGGTATCTGTTGTAGATGTTGACCCACCGATGCTTTTTCTTGAAGGTGAACACCAACTGGCAAGATCCACAAACCCGAGGTGAAAACACACACCTAAACAAAACAAAAAAAACGTATACAAAAAAGATGCTGAAGAAGTCCCAGGCCACCCATGGTTCCACCGCCTAAGAAGTAGAGCGCTGTGACCAACACGCGTAGCAATGCCTCAAAGACGCGCTCCGTGTGTAACCCACATGGGCTCCGTCCAATTGTTCCACATGGACTCGCGGTTCCAAGTCAAAGGGGCAAAGCTGTGGTTCTATACCCCAAACCCTAGGAGACAAGGGTAGTTAGACCCCCCAAACCCTAGGAGACAGCTCGAAGCAAAGCCCTATAGGCCTCCAGTCGTACCTTCGTTTCGGTTCGGTGGGACGGTCGGGACCCGAGTGCCATGTTCGGGTCTAAACATCTGAGGAGGTACCACTGGAGGCTATAGCGACTGTGTCCCCATGGTGCGAATGCCATGGCCCAATGGCCCCAAAAAGGATCACGTGGTTGGTGTGGTTGTCCACTTCCGAAACAGCAGGGAGTGGGAGTGTATATGTTCGTAGTAGGTATAGGCCACAATTCTTAACATGACATGTGTTATGTTTATAGGATGCATACACCACACATAAATGACATGACATGAGATGACATTACATACATGTATAAACACATGCCATGCTACGGAATAGACGTAAAACTATTAGTTTGGTATATGCTGGTATATAATTCATTTTGGAACATAGCCAAGTTACACCACAACCATATCATAAAATATGATACAAGCGTGGCCATCCTTATCATGTAATAGTGTATCGTATGGTATACTGTGTGTAAACCATATCATGGCCTGAACACCAAAAACAAGACATGTCCAAACACTTCTACACTGAACCCGTCACACAGCACAACATCCAGGGTACTATCCAGGGTCATCTCAGGGCTTTGCGGCTGTGCCCATAGGAAACAAACACAGGCAAAAATAGGCCACTCACTCATGTGCCAACATTCAATGCTTGCAATCATCTCCGTTCGAGTTCGAGTCACATTGATCTATGGATGTTCGAGATCGGTGGCTCTTCCGGACCCTCCTTTGCTAGGGGACAAAGGGATTATAGGTGCCTCGAACACACGAAAATGCAACTCACGGGCTGAGGACAAACCAAATTTGTTTGCTTCCTGTCGTTCGGACATTGAGCCACTGATGCGACATATCGGCTTCATGGTATCCAAACAAAACTATACGTAATAGCAACAAGCTGTGGGCTGATCAAGGGATTCCAAGGAATTCTTGCAGCCATGCTGGCGAGGACCATCCCGGCCGAAAGACATCGAAGCCTCCATGGTCATGACGTTTGACGAGGAACGCATTTGAAGGGGATTGGGATGCCAGCCGCCACCGCCAGCAGACTTTGAACCTCAGATGGTGAAAAAGCCCAGCGGAAGGAGACGCCACCTCCAGCCCATGCTACCCAGGTCCGAAAAAATAAGTAACAAAAACTATCACAAAACATTCAAAAACTAAACTCTCATACAGTGGTGCCCTCTGAATCTCTTGGTTTCCACTGGTTCTCACTGTAGGTCATTTGTAGAAGCAAAGCCGAATGGACCTCTGCAGTCTGTATCATGAATTCCTGGGTGGCCAAGTGCGTTTATCAAGCATATATGTCAGAACCCAATAATATATGTAGAGTTCTTTACGATCCAAATGGGATGTCTGATTGATGAAGAATCTACATTATATCATTTTATATCACAAAAAAACCAGCTTAATTGATCGGAAAGAGGTTGGAAGGAGAATGGCGAAACCTCGGAATCCGGATCCATTTTAAAAGGGACAAGGAAACGGCACATGTAATTGCAATCCCGAATTTCCAGCCTCATCCCCTTTCTCCTCTGGGCGCTCTCCCCAGTTCCAGCCGGTCTTGTCCCAGGTGCAGTGCCACCACCCAGGACCTGTCTACCATAGGCCTCTGGGGCCAAGTCGACAATGATCCCGATGAGCATGCAGCAGCTGGCACCCTCGGCTGTGTGCGGCTAGACTGTGCTATAGCCGCTAGCCCCCTCTATTCCGCTGAAGGCCACAGAATAGGCTGCAACACGCCGAAGCAAAAAAGAAAAGGGATGTCTGGGACTAAAGGAACACAGGGTGTCCACTTGCGGAGATTGCTTTCAGGCACGCTCCGCTCAGCACTCAGCTACTCTGCCAACCTTCTTGCCAAGCAGCCATCCCCACATGCACGACATCTTCTGGCACATACTTCTCTAGCGCACGCACCAGAAAATAGCCTTTGTCCTCATAGCCCGAAAAGCCTCAAGTGTGCGCAATCCACGATGGAGCGTGCTCATTTTTCGAGCGAGCGAGCGCTCCAAACCAGCCGAGGGGGGGTCATCGCTCATCGCTGTTGGGATTGTTGGGTGCAGTCGTCCTCCGTGCAGTCGGATCGTGCCACACATGGAGACACCAACCTGCAGATCTGTGGCAGTGTCCATCTGACCAGACCTCATGGGGTGGCCTGGCCAGCTGCCTGCCCGTGAGGTGTTAACGGCGGCCAACACCTGCAACAGAGACCATCCCGGAGCGGGTCGGTAGACACTACGTGTGCACGGTTGTGTGCATTGTTTAACATGAGGAAGTCTCCCAAACCACAACAAAAGTAACCTTCCCCAGAACTCCAGTCGTACCGAACCGTTTCGAAGGTGGGACTGGGGTGGGTTTTTGAAGGGTCCAGTCATACCATCTGAGGAGGTACATACTTGGAGCCCTACCAAACGGGCTTGAAAACTCCCACACCCCAAAGTCCCGCACTGGTCGTCCTCAAAACGTTCGGAACTTTCCGACCCCCGAGATCCGAGTCCACCGAGTCTACCGGGGCCCCGGAACTCGGAGAAGGAGCCGAATCGATGCTCTCAGAATTCTGGGAAGCTGGGGGGGCCTTCCAGATGCCTGAGAAGCACATGGTTTTCTCAGGTTTTCTCTCAGACGAGTCTGATGTTGCTGATTGAATGTTGCTACCGTCTTCCTTGCTTCGGGTGCTTCTCCTCGCTAAACCAGTCTTACCAGGACTCATCTGCCAGCAAACATGCACAATTCCATCCCCAAGACCTGTCGCTCTAGGCGCACAATGTTACGCCGCCAGCCTTGAGATTCAAAGAAATGCTCCCCTGCATTCCAAGGAGCTATTGCAGCCATTGATGCCCAATGGGCATCCAACGTATTTGATCATGTCATGCAGCCCCGCAACCACCAAGCCCAGCAAAGCCGCGATGCACACGGCAAACACCACCTGAGTCGCACACCGAAAGGGGTTGCGATGCGACCGGCACCGTTGGCCCAAAGCGCTTCGGTTTGGCGTCTAGAAACCGCTACTGACCATCCATGTTGATAGACTCTGTCAAACGCATCAAAGTAAGAATGCCAGTGTGCTTGTGGGTTCTGGCACCAGGATGGCACCAGGGATCCCTTTGACCTATACCAACGGTACTCAAGCTATCTATGACATGGTCTTGGGACTCCCAGGTTTAGGGCCCATTCCCATGGCTCCCTGGCAGGCACTACCGAAGCCAACAGTTCCCAAACACGACACTGACATGGGACTGCCATAGGACTGCCGAGAAACGGCCAGGGGTGGTGCCAGGGAGGTGTTTCAGTTACTCTTTCTGGGGCGGCAGTCCGTCCTGGCAGTCCCAGACACGTCGTGTCTGGGGTTTCTTTTTGCCCATGACCTGGTCCGCAGGTGAGTCTCCAGGTCTTATCTCCACGACGGTCCCGTCACACACGGTGTGCCGCTCCAGGCACGAGAAGTGGCGGAAGTGCATCGCGCATGGCATGCGACTCGAAATTCAGGCTATACTGCACTGACAACACCGAGAAGCGATCTGAGCGCTCCTCGGTCCGATCAGGGCTCAGTTGGAACATCTGCACTGAGGTGTTGATTTCGGCGTTGGGCCCGATGAATTCACACAACACAATACAACACGACGCACCACAGCCAACCAACCAACCAAACACGGTGAGGATCTTCAGGTGGGGATCTAACAACAAAATGGTGAGGATCTTGAGATGAAGACTTGAATCCCATAGAGATGCACAACCGAGCTCGTCGTTGTTTAGCATCTTCTTCGAAGGCCCAAAGCTCGTGTTGAGGAGTCCATCTGGACCCGCCAGAATACGCGAAAAATGTGAGTTTGTAGGTTCATATAGGCAATATGAACCTCCCTGACACACATAATAATATACACTCGATCATACTGCTGCAACAAGTTCAAGCAACTGCTTGCTTGAACTCATGGGTGTTATAGCAAGGCAAAGTCGTTTGGCCTACTAGTTGGTGGGGATCGAGCCTGGAAATCCACACTGGGTCCCTTCATGGGAAAATCCCGGGCTTCTTGCCCTATGTTCAACACCCATCCTGACAAAGTAAATAAAACCACCAGGCATGCTCATCGGAGGCCTATCATCATCCCTGATCCGGAGGACTTGGCAAGGTTTCCCACCAAATGTGTCCATGTCAACAACAAATAACACACAAAACCACCATAAACCTCCGCCTCGAAGCTGCAAAACAAGAACCCTGAAGGGAGCTCTATCCAGGGTCTTAGGGTCTTCCTCGGTCGGCCCCCGGACCGGGGTTCCCTATAGCACCTCGCGACTCGCACGTGTAGTGGTAGTAGTAGTAGTGGTGGTGGTGGTGGTGGTGGTGCAACGCTCAACGCTTAAGCGCCCTCGACGTCCCTCCGCTCGGGCCGATTCCGGCGCATCAGAGGCATGAGACGGTCTTGTGCCTCATCGAGGGGGTTCCGGGAAAGTAGGAGTCCACCAGTTCCTCTCCTGTGCGAAGCATGCCGTTGGGCAAGTTGAATTAGTCGGTGATGCTTATTGGATAGCGAATTGATGCGAAACAAAGGCACGTGCTGCGAACACACCCCAAGCGCAGTGTTCGAAAATAGATATACATGATGGGATATAATGAGATATAGCCATAGTTTGGGAGACCCGGCCTGTTTCTGGGAGGAAACCAAGATTTGGATGTTCTCCCTGTAGCGTTTTACCGATCCACTTGGGCAGGTTGCAGTCTTCCGGTGTGTGTGTGTGTGTACTGTCAGCTTTACTGCCACTTGCTTGATCCGCCAGGTGTGCGCCAGCGCGACGTCTACGCTTCCTTCGACGCTTCATGGAGAAGGTCTGGCAAAGATTGAACGCACCTTTTCCAGATGTTAACGCCCCTGCTGGTGCTCCAAAATTCCACTATATAGCCTGCGCCCCTAGAACATTGAGGAGGTCAAGCATGTCCCTGGATAAAGATCACTGTCTCTAGCAAGAGGAAACCTTGGGACCAACCAACTGGATACAGAGTCTCTAGCAAGAGGAAACCTTGGGATCAACCTTGGGATCATCAAGCTTGAGATCAGCTTACCATGTCCCCTGCTTACCAGATTTCTCGGAAACGGCTCCAGGGAAACCTCTCGACCGACCTCCTTGCAATCGAAAGTCGCTGTGGACCTTTGCCCAAAGCATGAGTCAGTGAATTCAAATGGATTTGACCCCGCAAGAGAAAGTGAACAAAACCCATCCAAATCCTGAAAAGCCCATACCCGAAAAACAGCACACGAAGCTCTTGACCTCAGACTCTTGGTGGTGTCCACTTGCGGGTGTTTGGTCAAGGGCTATAGATACCACCTCGCGCTTTCCGTTAAGAACCACGTTCCTCTGGCCTCCGGACGGCCGCCTCCCGACAGTGGGAGTTCGATCCGGCTCAGGCTCATCTGAGGGCCTCAAGGAAGAGGAGACATGCGTGGGTTTGGTGGCTCGGCGTACTAAGAGACCCTAGGGGTCCAGTCGTACCTTCTTGGGTACGGTGATTGGAGACACTGTGATGTAGGCTTGGAGGGCCCAAATACCTTCTGAGAAGGTATGATCCATAGGGAGAGAAGTCAGAAGTGAATCCAACAGGCCTTGAAAAGTACATGTCCAGGTTCTGCAGGTCATGGTCCAAATGTTTGGGGAAGCTTGTTGGGAGATCCAGAAAACGGTCGTCTTTGGAAAAAAACACCTCTTTTCGAAAGCGATTGGGTTCAAAAGGTCCGGGACCAAGATGAAGAATTGGGATATATTGGGATGATGAGCCTACCAGCACCCTCCAACAGGCTGTTTGGAGACCCTAACAGGTGGTTTCTGGGCACCTGTTGCCACCAGGAAGCACCTGTTGGAGGGTGGTGGGGAGGTCGGCTATTCCTATGTAAACTACCTCGGTACCTCGGAAAATGGATCGGACGTCCAGCGGCTGCTGGCCGGTCCTGTCTCAGGTATACATATACCAGGGCCCCCGGCTTTGCGGCGACAACATGGACATCCCACAAATGACAAAAACCTCTCTAAGAGAGGCTATATATATATATACCTGGACCTGACTGACCCAGTACCTTAGAAAATGGGACATGGCCCCATAAGAAACAGGTACGACTGTACCCATTGAACCCGAGGTACGAGGCTCCAGGTAGACACCTCAAACGGTGTCGTCCTAGTAGATTTGCAAATGATTTGAACACGCTGAACACTGGAACCCCTGGACCGGATGATCAACTCAGGTCGGTCGGTCGGTTTTCGGGACCGTTTCTTCCGGCAGAGGGCTTCCAGGAGCTTCCGGTCTGCCATTGGGGGGCTGTGAGATGGTTTGGGTTTCCCGTGTGCTTCCTGGCCTGCCATCGAGTAAAAACCGCCGGAACACCTCGAAGAACCATGGTTTGACTAAGGAATTTACACTACGACACCAGGTCAAGCATGGTTTAAATGGTCTTGGAAGCCTAGGGGAAGAGTCTTGGTTGTCCATCCCTCGTCAGTGGAGAACTTGCAAAAGATGTTAAGGGATCGGAGCACCCTGCTCAAATCAGGTACGCTACACTACTTAGGGATCTCCAACGACACAGCCAGGACGGATGCTTTTCCACCACTGAGAAAGTGGGCTGCCAGGCGTGTGTCCTCCCCACGACAGGGGCAAGTAACCTGCAGCCCACAGTAGATGAAGATAGATGAAGTATACAGTACCCACTGCACTTCAGGTATACGGTCCTGAAAAGAGATACACTAACTTTGGCCAAACCTCCCAAAATGAACATCAAAAAACTGGGCTGAATTGCATGACGAACCTTTGGGCGAAGACGCAGGAGCTTCCTGAATCCCACATCCACATTTGCAGTGGATCTGTACCAGATTAAGCAAGCCCAACGAGTTGGCCCCCCCACAAGAAAAAAACAATTGTTTAAATGAAAAGACTCTATATTTCCACATTGGCCTCCCTCTTTATATGGCTTTTCTTGGCAGAATCCTCCCACTATGTATCAAGCCCGTATGCCCACAGAAAATTATGGTTAATAAATATTGTACGTAAAATATACGCGGTGATAGTATTTATACAACTATACTTTCTCTTTTCAGCTAATATCTAGTGAAACTGATCTTCTGATCCACCCTTTTCCCATGCCATCTCTTCTCCCATCCCATCTTGCTGTCAATGTGTGCTCATATGAGACCTCTTTCAATAGCATGAATCATATGAGGACAAACCATGGTGCACCCAGCAGGTTCCAATCCCACATGCCAAAATCCAATTCCATACATACAACATCCCTACCGATTACCTAGGGGGGCGTCACCTAATTGTAAGTTACAATTTCCTAGGTTTGATACCTCAAAAAATGTAACGTACAAATACTAAATCACCTGAAAAATTGTAACTTACAATTTTGAGGCCTCTCAATTGGTCAGACATCCCATATAGTATGGCCACACTGCCGTTGTGTAGATTCTGCACGTATTTGATGGGGGGGGGTGAAAACTTCTGAAACTACACACGTCGGAGGCAGTAAGTTACACTTTTTCACCCCCCCTTTTAAAGCAGTAAGTTACATTTATCCCCCCCCAAAGTGAGTGGTTTGGGGGAGGGTTGGTAAATGTAACTACAAGCCTCCCACGTCCTAAGTTACATTTTTGAGCACCTCCCCCCCAAAAAAGGGCATCAAGGGGTGGTAATTGACGCCCCCCTCAAATCCATGGGTAAGGGGGGTAGGGATCATACAACCACAAACCCAATGCCAGCAGCTTCAAACTCTCATGGAGAAACACAGAATCTCATCAACCATTATCCATCATCAGGTCCAGGTCATCACCTCATCATCCATCATGCAAGTCAAATTCACAACGCCACCATCTGCAAAGCGTCGGACTTCACCGTCTCCGCAAACCTCCGGCCAGCCCCAAACCGAAAATAACATCCATCCAAGTGGCACATCCGCCCCATCCACATCGGCATCCGCGTTATCACCGTCGCCCTGTATCCGCGCGATCTTCTCGTCTTTCTCCGGTGGCTTGGCCATCGAAGCCGACGAGAGCGCTCGCACGATCACGGCTGCAGAACGCATCGGGCGTCGTGTTTGAAATTCAGGGCAGAGTCCAAAAAGAGAAACAGGGAGAAGAAGTGGTACATCCAAGGCTTAGGTATTTGATGCGTGATGTTTGCTTCAAGTTGCTTGCTGCTCAACAAAAATCCTTGCAGGCCAGAAATCAGATTCCTATAAATGTCTAACAACCCAAAGCCGCACAAGTTGTTTTCAATCGCAGCTCTCAGCTCTCCAGCTCTCAGCTCCGCCTTGCCGCGCGGAGCGTCTCATGCCGCTCTCGGAGGTCGACGATCGAGGACTCGGTCATCGGGCCGAGTCCCAGTGTTTCGGCTTGATGATAGCGGGTGATGATGGCTGATAAGGGCCAAACAGAAATCAGAATAGACGTATACCATCGTATACCCAAACGCGACCCATGATACTGCCATAGGACTGCCGATCAGGCCAGGGGTGATGCCAGGGGGGTCAATGTATAGGCATATATTCCATACATGGAGTGTATGGGATATGCCATAGCCTTATCTTCACCATTTTGGAAATGGTTCAATGGTTCACCTGGTTTTTGCAGTAAAAAGGGTACTAGTAAAACAGTTAATGTTTGTTCGGTAAAGTTTGGCTATTGAATCAATGGTGGTTCGATTCCTAAGGTAAGTCCACCAGAAATTCCACCGGACTGGGCCACATCACGTTGAAAGGGACACATCCAAATCGAATAGTTCAATCATGTTCAAAACATGGATGAAGCAAATGGATGTCTTTCTTCACCGACTTGTCCTCAGATCGGCCCAACGCGCCTGCCGTCGCCGATCTCGGGTCGCTCAGGGTCGCTCAGGGCGGCGCCCTGAACGCTGCGCCCCGCAGTTGCGGCGCTGCGAACGGCAGAGTTCTGACTCACCGAAGTATGCCCTCCCTGAGCCTTGATGGAAAAATGGTATGTTCAATCATCAATCATCTGGACACAATCTTCTGCTCAGAAATGGATTCACCTCAGTCATGATTTACCATCCTACGAATCCTGGCGCTTTTCGCAACAGCGAACCTTCCACCGCCAGAGGAAGGGGGGCAGCGCCGACAGGGTCGGACGCAGCTCCAGCTTTCTGGTCGATCCAGGAAAGCTCGGAGGTCTACGTCAAGCTGCTGAAAGGTGCTGAATAAGGGTCAATGGTTGGTCTGTATGTATGACCCATCAAAACCAACACACCACCTGCCACAACTCCTCCGCGGCAAGGCTCCCCAGTGGCCTTCCCCCGAAGCAAGATGCTTAGGTCGTGGCCTGCAGCTGAGACTGGGAGGAGACATGCAAACCTGGAGTATCCTGCATTCCTGCAACTGTTGAAACGCCCATGTGGGACAAAATGTAGTGGGAATGAATGTTTAAGTCATGGCTTTTGATTTTGGTGGAGGTTATATATACATATATATATTTATAGTTATTTATATAAATTTGTAGACTTGGTGTTGCTTTAGCCAAATGACTTCTTTCCAACCTCTGGAATGAGATCCAAACCTAAGGATCCTAAGGTGCTTTTTTTGATAACGGGATTTCTGATGCGTATGAAAGGCTCATCTGGCACATCAAAAGCATGGAAATCTTTCAAGATCGCCTCGGCAAAGGTGAGATAGGTTTCTTTATGATGAGAAAGGTCTATGATGTTGTCAGGTCTATTGAACAAGCATGGAACAAAGGGTTGAGTTAATTCTCTCAAACTCGTTTCTGTGATGAACACTGTAGCTGTATGGCCCCCCTTTTCTCCCATGGTGTTGCCATGAAGATCCATGAAGTATACTGTACCTGTACAGTACAATCAGTACATTGACAATTGATATGCGGGTGTGCATTAGAAAAGGCAGACCCTGTTAGAACCGCTGGAAAATAGACGACCACCCATTCATGGACGGGGGTCCCAAACCCCAAACAAATAGATATGTCTCACCCACTGTCATGAATTGACCTGCTATCCGCCCACCCCATCTGTTGCGCTCGGCCATCTCTTTTGCCGCGGGCGAGGCAGCGGGAGGTTCTCGGGCTCAACTGGCGAATACGACGTCGATGGGTGGGTTCACCTGAAGAAGACGGCGGCCCTGAGGATGTGATGGCGGTCCAAAAGAGAAAGAGCGAACTGCACATGGGTTTCATGGACCTTTTCAAAGCAAAACGGTTTGTGAAACACAAATGGCCAACTGCCCTGGACTGTCTGTGAAAACGCACAACATCTCAAGTGCAACCCAAAGATCTCAAGAGGTATGGTGGATCAGCACTCATGATTTGGGATCAAACCCTAGAGCTCCAACCATATCCTCAGGTTCGGTGGTTAGACCCCCCTGGCACCCACCCCTGGCCCATCTTCTCAGGAGGTGGGCCAGGAGCCCTAGGGAAAAAATCTAGATCGGATCTGGACTTCGGTGCAAGAACAAACAAGTTGAGCTGGAGAACTGGCAAGGCTCGTCTGGAGAACTGGCAGTGCCTGCTAGGTCTCCAAAACACATGAACCAATCAAGCATCAACCCTCTCCAAAACAGCAGTAGTCAATACAATGCAACTTTGTGCTTACATGTGTAAAGCACCCAAATCTGGGAGCTGCACAAATTGGGAGAAGCCCAAAGCATCATCGCCCAGCTTCTTCATGATGACATCAAAGTCCTCTGAAGGGATGTGAATTCGAAGGACTTATGGTCCGGAGAAACTGCTCGCTCTTGAATCATGAACGATTCTGTCATTTTCGTCACCCTGACGGGGGGGTCCGTCACTGGGTTTTTCTCTTTCACTCAATGAAAACAGTGAGTGCACAAGCAGCGGAAGATCAACGAGCCTTGGTCCCTGGAAACTCACAGGTTGAATTGAATAGTCTTCCCAGGACTCATGCCAAAACATGCCAAAAACACCTGGAGGCAGTCAGCGGTCTCCGATCTGTTTCCATCTGTTTTCCATCTTTTGACACTCCCTCGGCAGGACCGCCTGGGGCCAAAGTCCGACGTCGGAGATGCAGGCCAAAACAAGGTCGACCTCTTCTCCCATTTTCTGACTGGTGCGACTCGTAAAGACTGAGGGAATGGCTGGATCCTAAGGGTATCTATCCCATACACTCCTATAGGACTACCATCCTATGCCACCCCCAAACAGACCCCCTGGCACCACCACCCCTGCCCGTTTCGCAGTCCTAGCCGCCGTCTCAGTCCAGTCCGTCACCCCGGCCAACCCCACCGGCGCGGGCCGCGAGCGGCTGCAACTCCTCGGACATCACGTCCGCACCGTTGATCTTCTTCACCTGGACACCACCGACGGCGCTCCAGTCCCGTCCGCCGACGGAGACGGCGACGCCGGAACGCGACCCGAGTCGAGGAGACCGGACCTTCCGGACGCATGGAGCAGGAGTCCGTCCTCATTCGGTGTGTTTTCGTGATGTTCCGTCATGCTTGGGAAAGCGAAGAATGAGACCTCAAGTCTCCCAACTCGGATGAACTCTCAAGGTGTCCAGCTGGATGGCGGCAGGTTCAAGCTGGGTAGAGCCTTCCCGAGCGACCTGAAGAATTTGGCCTTCCAAATGGTGGTCTGGTAGCGAGCCCCAAACACTCCTTGGGACTGGAATACATGCCTAGCCCCAAGACAATTACCCTAATGTATGTAAATATGTCAGTTCGACTGTCTGGGATAGGTATCCCAAATGGTGCTCTGCACCTGGATCTTCTCACGTGTGAAAAGGATCCACCTGGATCTTCCTGGCTGGTTTGGTCGACGAACAAGTCTGGAGAGCTGGATTGTTGGATGACAGAGTCTCATTATGATGTTTCTCCTGAAGCTTCCCTGAAGACTGTGCTTCTTCTACAACAAAGATCGTCCATTTCAATGTCAGTCCGTCAGACCTGCTTGAAGCCAAGATGCCACCATGCCAGGCTTGATCCCAGCGGTTTCGGCTTGTCCTGACTCTCACAAACACCCTCACCAAATCATCAGCACTTGAAGAGAAAACTTATTTTCGTTGGAACAACACACTCTTCGAGGTTTACCATTTAGGGTTCGAGCTTTGGACGCAGCCGCAGGGGAGACCATCCCACACAATCAGAGGGCATTCCCCGGCACCATGTCGATGATGGCATGTTAGGAGCTCATTCATTCCGGACCTCTTGGACCTCCTTCCCCGGCAGCCCAGTCATATCTCGATGACGCGAAGGATGGCCCCTGGCCCCTCTGGAGCTCTGAAGGTCGAAGTCTTCCAAACCTGGACCATGCCCTGTTCGACTGTGGGCCCCCTCACCAACACATAGGGTTTAGTTCACGTCCGGACCCATAGAATCCGACCCCCCCGAGGGTCAGGGGAGTGTGGTTCTGGTGGTTCAAGGTGACCGAAGTGGATCCCCTGCCATGTGTTCCAGACCAACGCTGCGAATCGGACACGTACCGACCTGGGAGCCCACATCCAACCCCTGCGTTGATCCAGATTGAGTCCTCAAAACCAAGAAGTCCCAGACACGACGTGTCTGGGACTGCCAGGACGGACTGCCGCCCCATCGACCCCCCTGGCTCCACCGCAACTGATAGGCATACAATGGCAGTCCCATGGAGTGTTTGCGATTGATCAATTGATCTATAGTATAGGAGAAACTCGATTTAATCTAGGACACTGATCTAGAAGCGTAGAAATTGGGGGAGATCGATCTCCTAGCGGATCATTGATGTAGACGGGCTTGGCCACTGCTTTGACCTAAGTCTTCGGAAGCTGCGGCTTACTTAAAAAGAAAAACGCAGCAGCGAAGCGAGAGGCCAGCCCAAGAAGCCAGGTGAAGCAGCAGCGAGGTCTAATGGAGAATCTGACAAAAGGATACAAAGGGTATCCAGTTTCCAGTGGTGTGCTGGTTCTCGACGAATCTTACAACAAAACATGGATGATGCCACCATCTTCAGAGGTACAACTTAAGACTTCAGGAAGCAAAGCTACAAAGTAGATGGCATGGTCACCACACAGTTGAGGTGGTACACCTGCTTGGTCATCATCATGGAAGTCTGAAAACGCCACCTGCTTGGTCTTGAGGTTTCATATGATTTCAGGTTTCATAATATAATTCCATGCCATCCAAGTTATTCCATGACAATTGCATGGACTGCCAACGGGCCCGTGCATACTGTAACATTGGGTGTATTCCATTCCCTGTAACGGTGGATGATGATTTAGCACAGGCCTTTCTCAAAAAGGGTGGTCTATTTTGACAGAAAGGCCTGTTCCGAGCAGCAAGCAATTGACTGTTTTTTCGGAAGATATTCAAGATTTTTCAAGTATAATCTGACATTGTGAGCGGTGAATGTTAAGTTTTTTTTGGGTACCCTAGGGCTCCAAGTATCTTCTAAGGTTGTTGGGGTGGGTGCCAGGGGGGATCCAAATACCTTCTGAGGAGGTACGACTGGAACTATGTAGGCTATCAAACAGTCCGTTCTGACTATCGGCTACCACAAGTCTCTTCGCAAAATAACATGTGTCCACTCTAGTTGTGATTAATCAACACAAAAAGTAAAACATTGTTTCGAAACATAACTACAGTACTGTGACCTCTGGACTAGTTGCCTACCGGGTCATGTGTTTGGCAGCCAGACCCAATATAAATAATATGACGACCCAATAGACATCTGAAGGAACATATTTTGGAGATATATGGTACGGTAACGAATGAATACCGACATGCAACGTCACATTGGTTTCCACCCCATGCAAAGCATGCATGGTGGGGGATGGCTGACAGAGGTTCCCAGACCCTAAGCCCTCAAAACAACAGGATCAACGCACAGTTTGCCTGAGCTCGCTAGCTTTCCAGAAATGGATTCCAGGGAGGAGCTGTGGATGGAGTGACGCGGTCTGTCTTCCAAAACGTCGTCACCTCACCATTGAGCCAATAAGCATGTTTTTCAACCACCTGGACGCTCTAAACAACCCTTGGTCCCTCAAAACCTACTGTTTGGGGGCATTTGAGACCCCAGACCTCTCCAAAGGATGGCTCTCAATCTTGAGGGTCCAGGAGCTGCCCCCCAACGCAGCTCACTGGGCAGCTCCTGGACGCCCAGACTAAACGCAAGGGCCCCGCACCCCCATGGGCGGTGGGCGTGAGGTGTTGAACATTCCCAGAGGTGTCGAACGCGATGATTTTTGGAGCTCCCATGACTCTTGGCTGTTGATAGTTGGATGTCTGACAGCTCAGTCTGACACAGGACCGGTACAATATGAAAGAACTGACCTGGAGGAGCATGTCCCTCACATCTTTCGAAGTGAAATGATCTAAATCAGGGTGCCATCCACTTGAAGCACACGAAAACGCCAAACGGGTCATTGAACCATCTGAATCAGAATATATCCAATTCTTTGCAAGGAGTCTCCACTTCTCTCAGCCATAGATTCGGAGACACTCTGGATGGACAGGGATCTGTTGCTGCACCCCCTGCCCTGCCGAGCGGCCATGGCTCCCTTAAAGTCCTGGTGCCATTCGCGATTGGCCGAGGGGGGGGGATTCTCGGATTCTCGCCAATTCGTGAAGCCCCTCAGTTTCCCTTCAGAAAAGGTGACCCCGAAGACTCTGGGCCCGAACCAACACATGAAGGCCCAAATTGGGTCCGGACCAAAAAGGTGATATACCCTAGGGCTCCAACCATATCCTCAGGTTCGGTGGTTAGACCCCCCTGGCACCCACCCCTGGCCCATCTTCTCAGGAGGTGGGCCAGGAGCCCTAGGGATATCTGGTTATCCACTGACCTGAGCAATTCGGAGTGGGGTTGTGGGGCGGCGCAAGGAGCCGCATGGTCTCTGTTTGTCTCTGGATTTTGGGGATATGTTTGGGAAGGTGAAAAGAAGTCTAACCCATTGTGCCAGTAAAATGTAACTCTTTTCAGCGAATCCGTGCGCATGTGGAACTCTAGGATCTATCTCCTTGCGATGCACGTGGCACCGTGCGCAACACGAGTGCAGCCCGTGTTGCCGCGTGTGTGGCCACGTGTTTTTGGGGGCTGTCTCAAGACTTCCCAGTCAGACCTGGCGAAGGTTGTGGAGCGACCCTGGGACCTCCTGGAACAACCTGTCACCTAAACCACCTGGAGACCCCTGTGGTAGGGTGGTGTTTGGAGCCTGAGGGGTGGTTCACACACCTTCCCACCAATTGGCAGCCCATATGTATAGGGTGTCCCAAGCATGTTTCCCCTATCAGGTCTTATAGGATGCTAAAGGGTTTGACCAGCTGTGTGCGTTGTTGCGCTTTCAGGACTTACGGGGAAGAACTTCAGAACCCGATGGCGAACCGCCCAGTGAGGACCGCTCTCCTAGGACATCACCGCTCCAGGGATGCACCAGGTGCTGAAACGAATGGAATGCGCCTTTTGGCCATGGTTTGTCTATCAATAGCCCCGCAAAGAACAAGTCACTTCGAGGTTAAGGGGTGTCCATTCACAAGGCACCTGACCGTGGGTTCTGGTAGGAAGGCACCTGACATTCTGCAACATACGATGTAGAAATCCCGCATCGTGATCCCGTCTCCTGCCCGGGCTGCCAACGGACAATGCCATAGGGTTTCTTCGTAAAGGTCACCTGGCCCGTGTCACCGCGCAAAACGACGGCCAGAAGTGGCGACGGAGCCCGCCCTGTCTTCAGAATACGGCATTCAAACAAATGCTTGGGAGGTCGTGTTGGATGGTTTCTGATGTTGTTTCAGATTCCAAAAGATTCACATAAATCAACACACATACCCTACAAGTCCAACGACCCAGTAAAACCAGGTCGGTTGCTTGCTGGAATGGTGTTTCTGCATTGCCTACTCCAGTACAATGAGGTCATTGACCTGTAGGGATATATAAAGAATAGTCCCAGGATTCTTCGTGGGCGAACGCCCTCAGATTTAGGAAGTGTGTGCGTGTCTGTGCGCAACATGCGCAATGAACTTGTAATATTTAACACCGAAGAACATAAATAATCATGCTTTACGGTAGAGTCTTAATATCATTTCCAAGAATCCAAGAATACTATGAGAGTCTACAACCAACAAATATCAACTAATTGTGGTATATATAGTACTACCCTTGCTTCTTCTTCCACTGTGGTGCTTCTTGTTGCTTCCCTGCCGAGGCACGCTGAGTTCGCCACCGGGTGCTTGTCGCACGCTCCAGGGCGTGTCCTGGTGCATGCTGCTGGTGGATGCTTCAAAAACTGGCGTTCGCCAATTGGAGGCTGGCTGAGCATGGATGTTGGCTGTTCACCCAGATTTTGGCGTTGGATGAAAGGCCTCTGCTAAACGTATGTAAACGTATGTTGATCATTTGCGATTGTATGTTCACACTTCAAAAAAACTATCCTTATACAGGGCAAACATTATATGAATATATGATATATATATATATATTGCTGTATGTTACAGTTATACATATAGTTCAATAATGTTCAATACATAACATTACATGATACATACGTGGATATGAATATAGTTATCTTACATTATACTACATGACATAACATGATATTACTTGACACCATATCACATTTGGTCTTCACCTCTAAATTGAAACAAAAAACAAAAATATACCAGGGCCCCGCCCAATTATAGCTCCTTGGAGGTGATTCGGGATGTCCATTAGCCACCCCTTATTCAGGGGGCCCTAGGGTATATATATTTCACATGTGTATGATCAAACAGATATACCGTATGACCATATAATACCAATATGGATCCATTGACAGTATTCTATGGTGTTATTTATAAACACATAGTACCAATATGGATCCATTGACGGTATTATCAAACATAATTAAATATATCATGTACCGTATCATCAATCCCAACAACTCCAAATAGAACCTCCGCGCGCTGCCCTCGCGCCGCGCGCGCGACCGCTTCCGCGCCGTTCGTCGGCTCGGGACTGGGTCCGACTCTTCGGGCGCCAGGGCCGTGAGGAACCTGAAGAGCCATGTGTTTTGGTATGGTATGGTATGTCATATGGCATGTCATATGCTGTATATGGACCTGTATGCAATTGCATGAACGGACTACAATTATATATGTATATATGTTGATTGATCTCTTTTTTTTGAAACATCTCGTGGGCAATTCATAGCATATCATAATATATATATATATAATTCTGCTTTGTCATTTGCTGCATTCCCATCCCCAGTCGTCCCGGGAGCTGGAAGAAACTAGAAGCTAGTCATTGAGTCGAGTCGCTTTCAACAAGTAAAGACTATGACTATATAAGCATAACCTTATTGGGCCGTAAAGAGTAGTGTGTTTGCATGTCGAACTCTAGTGTTTTTGTATGTCGAACTCCATCATTAAAAAGCATGCAAACAGCGGTGCAAGATCTGAGAAGGAGCATGCTGGGGCGCTCCCAGCAAGTTGGCCTAGTTGACGGAAAAAAGCCATGCAGGCCGGCTTGGGGTTCAATTCATGCTCCACGTCTATATGCTGGGTGCATCTATCCCTAATCTCGATGTATGGAAGATTCACCTAACTTGAGATCATGTTTAGCTGTCTTAATTAAATTTTAAGGATCAATGCAGGCATACGTGGGTGGTCCATCTATATATAGCTAAGTGAATGACCCTGACTTTAGGAGTTTGGTCACTGGGACAAGTCCCATTGCCATCAATTGAACCAGGCACAGAGACGCGGTGAGTATGTGCAAAACAAGGGTGAGCCAGGTATAAGGCTAAGGTACTGGCTTATGGGAGACAGTAGAAGTGTCTGTACCACGGGTGGTGCTGTGGTGCTGCACCTGTCAACTGGCAGCCAGTTTGAGCATATGGTATATAGGCATTTAAACACGGCATTATATATTATACCTATCGTATGTTCTAAACATATGGCATACACCGAAGGTCGCAGTTGAACCGTCCCGCATTTTCCCAAGGCACTGCTGCGGCATCATCTTCCCCTCGATCTCCACCATGCGGACGTTCTGCCTGGCTTGGACCCGTTCCACCACGTGGGCGAAACCATGCGGCCGATTCATGGAGCAGCTGTTGATCATCTTCGCAAGCTACCTGATAGTGAAAACCTGATAGCGAAAACCTGAAACCAAGGGGGCTCAGGCCAAACAAGCTTGGCAAACCAAAAGGCCTGGCTTCCCACTGCTAAGTAACTAGTAGCGTAGTAGGATGTGATTGCTTATGTTTCCCGAGAAAAGGAAGCGAGCCACCGACCCAAGAAGCTATAAGTAGTGGTCCCCCAATAGAGAGTGGCACATGCGGCACGGTTTCCAATACATTTTCAGTGGGGTTCTACTTTTCTACCTATTTGGATTTCTATACAGAAAGTTCGTTGGTTGACGCCCTCCTCTACCCAAACGTCACCAGCCTCTGAAAGTGTCCACGCCGCGCATTTCCTCTGGCTCGGGTTTCCTGTCCAAGCGCAGGAAGTCACAGAACACCTCCCCCAAAATAAGCCCGGGTTTGTCTAAGTTGGGCCATGCAGATTCGACAAAAAAGTATATAGATCAACATGCGTCCCAGTACGCAGCTACATTTGCTACATATAATATACATATAGCCAGGGCTTCCGAGCCGCTCCTTTTCAGCCAACCTGGGATTAGAATGCACCCGTCATCCAAGTTCCAAACATGTCCAGTTGAGCGGTTGAAGATGTTTCCGTGTCCAAAAGGGCCCTGCCATCTCACATAGATCACTGTTGCAGTGCTACAAGAGCTGGACGAGCGGTTATATACATTGTTTTATACTGACCGTTGATTGATAAACAACTTCCCTTTTTCCTCTACTAGCATTTTGAATTGTTTTTGGATGTATATATACCATATATATATATATATTACCATATACTCTCAATGTCGTCTCACGCCGTGGAGGAACGGCCATCGAGAGTGCCGTCTCGCCTTGTCTCCGCGGAGCACTAGGGGCTCTCGCTGGGAGCGTGGCAAGTTCACGAAGCAAACGTTCCACAGGGCCAAACACGTCACGCCTGGGCACGAGCAGCGTGAAGGTGGAAAATGGGACAGTTGGCACTGAGGCTCAATAAAGAACCAAAGGAAGACAACAACGATTAGGCACGGATGAATAGGCCTCAAAACAGGCCTGTAGATTCGAATCAGAGACCATACTCTGTGTTTGTCGTCATGTTTTTGTGTATCTTCGTGGGGCGGGCAGTGTGCTGGGGTTGTGGCTGAGACCAGCTGAGTTGAAGAACATCCCAACTGAAGCTAAGGCTGCTTGGAAGCCTGGTTCTTAGGTCTTACAGTGGCACCTTCCAAGAAAGGCCAACATGCATGGGCATCTCTTCCCATGCCAAGCCACTCCAAAGAAGAATGCCGCGTCGCGCCATTGGGAGGAAGCAACGCCGAAACCGAAAGCACGTGAGAGCGCCAGCGCCACCCGAGAGGGGGCGAGCCAGACACGAGCCAGACTGCAGGGCGCAGCTTCAGGTCGTCTCAATCAAGGTGCTGGTCCAAGTCCTTTTCCGTCTCGGCCTCCAGTCGTACCGAACCTGAGAAGCTGTTTGGAGTGGGTGCCAGGAGGGTAAAGTCATACCTGAAGAGGTACGACTGGAGGCCTAGGGTTTTCTCAGTCAACCCATCACAGCCGCAACTTCGACATGTTCGCGGCTCTACAAAAACGGCTCATTTTTTACAAGATCAGACTTGTTCTCGGCGACCACCCGCGACGTGATGCAACATGAAGGGGGGGAGAAGGCACTCAGCGCCATGGCACTCCCCGATGAGCAGAGCGCCCTGGTCCCCAATATGTCCCAACTCATCCTACGACTCGGCCCTACTCAGGCCCTACTCCTTTGATCCACTCGCTTGAACAACGGGTCACAACGGCTATGCCGTATTCAACGAAAGAGCAGAAGAAGCACCGGAACAGCTGGTTGAAGCACAGCAGCATCGTGTTTCTGTTTTGGTTGAAACTCTCAAACAGCATTCTACCATATTCTACCTACCTGAGGACCTTCCCTACCCAGCTCCTGTCAAAGCTCCAAGTAGATGGGATCCAATATATACATATAAAAATCAGAGAGGTTCAAACCCCATGTTTCACGAGTTTACATGCCAGTACCCTGCAATAGGTCACCAACTGAGACATTTCAGTGCCCGACATGTCTTCGAAAAGGACCTGTTGCAGCCTCCTGGTTGTGATATTTGGTTTCTTGATGTTTCTCGACATCCTCCACTCTGCACACAAAAAAGACTGGGTCAAACATGGTCAAACTATCGAATCCACCATGATCGGCGCCTGGAACCTCCAGCGTGGCGGTGGTGTGATCGCGCCATCGATGTCCACCGGACTCCCGCCTGTCCTGCGTCTCGGCATGCCGATCCGCGCCTTCATCCTGGTCTCCAGCACGCTGCGCACGAGGTTCAGTAACTCAGTCCTCTTCTGAAGGTCCTCCCCGGACGTGAATTCACGACCAGTGCCATGGGTTTCGGAGAGTGACGCTGTCTGGGCCAGATTTTGCTTTGGACTGGGTGGGGGCTTTCCGACACTTGTTGGGGGTCGAAATCCGACACTTCCTTGTCAACAAACACCCTTTCCAGGTCTCGAACTTGAGCGACCGACCACGTATGGAGGTCCAAGCTTACTCAAGACACGTGGCGCAAACATATTGGTGGAAGAGGCGTCGGGATGTTGACAATCGTGTCAGCCTTTGGGGACACTCGCCATGATGATCATCCATGACACATCACTACAACTTCCTCGCCATGGCCCTTTGGCAACAAGCTTGCGTTATGGTCCTTAATTATACAGCTCATATCACAAGTCCAAAAGCTGGCAATCAGCCAATGCGTATTTCGATCGACTTGGGGGCCCATTTTTCGATCTGTCACTGGGGAACTTCACGGAATTGGGGGTTGCTTCCCACTGTCATTTCTGTCACCCGCTCCAAACTCCACGGGCAAGGTACACATCCCCCGCCACCCTTTTCCACCCACTCGCCCTCGGCACAGGCAGCCCCATCTTCTCCAGAATCCTCAGTGGACAAATTTCAATTGCCTGCTTGAATGAAGGCTGCAAAATGCATCGAAACCAATTCCTGACCAATCTGATTAAGATGTATATACGCCTTGGGCCTATCCTAGTATGTTAGGTTTCAGTATTCATGGTTCATGCTTATATTTAAGGTCCTATTACCGGTGTATACTTCTCTAACTCAGTGAATGATGATATTTAGTAAATATTCCTGTGGAATTACCTGTGAAAGTGGGGAATCAGCTTCTAATACTGATAAAACAAAAAAACAAAGCACCGCAATCATACCTTGGCAGGGGATAGTAAAGGCCTTATAGGGATCTGCAAATAGGATGGTTCAGGGAGGTGTTTTTGACACACAGCCAACTTGCGCGAGTCCAACTTGCCGAAGATTCTTCACGCCATTGGTCTTGGACCTCTTCCTCATGGCCCGATTCCACTGCAGGAAGCTTTCCGTCTCATCTGGATGCTTCAGCAAGGCCTCAAAAAAAAGTGAGTGCAAAACGTGAGAATGCAGAATGCTCGCTTTTTTAGGAACTAGCCGTTTGTCATCGTCTAAGTGTTATTAAGGTATTTTGATGTATTTTGATATGTGTTGGTTTCTCGGAGCACATCTCACATCTTTTAAAGAGTCCGCCTCCTAGACTCACCAGGCCGACCTCTCCCAGCTCCAGCAGCTCCAGCTCCGACGCCGCGGTCTCGCCGGTGAGGCGCAAAAATCCTGACTGCGCCTGGAACACATCGGTCTTGGTGACCTGAACCGTTTTCATCTGCTCCTGCGCACGTCAGTTTCGGCCGCACGGACGTCTCGGCGACCGCGCGGGGACGGCGAGTGAAGAAAAGAGATTCTCTTGGACTTGGGAGAGGTGAATTCCCATCCGATGGGTTTGGGGATGATTTTGGGGATACTCCGAGGAATAGGCAAAAACACATGTGGTGCTAAACTGAAAATTCTGCGTCAGGACGATTATGAAATTATGACCTCGAGACTCTGCGAAAGACTGGCACCACTGGCACCATACAATGTTGCGTGGGGGGCAAAAGGATGCCTTGCCGGCCTCACTCTGTGGTTTGAGGCCATCGCTAGAAGGTTGGAGGCCATCACTAGAAGGTTGGAGGCTATCGGCCATCACAGAAGGTTGGAGGCCATCACTAGAAGGTTAGAGGCTATCGGCCATCACAGAAGGTTGGAGGCCATCACTAGAAGGTTGGAGGCTATC